TCACTGATTATTTTTGCCAAGAATGTCGACTCAATTTGGGCAAGAACTATGAGCACACAGCTTTCTGCTAACATAAAGTAAGTGATCAAAGTATTTTCTCAGGGGCTTTACTCCTTCAATAGGCGCTAGATGAAGATTCTCCATGTACATCCCACAAACCAAGTTAGGAAAAACATATTGGCAAAACATGGCAGTCTGAGGCGCTTTAAGGCTCTCTCTCATGTATAATGTGTCCGCCATCTGTCATGAATATGATGCAACTGTAGTTCATATCTATACCAACAGACAGTATATAAAGCCATATATGCATAGATAGCGGATGTCAAGTTTTTAAGCTTTTAAGTTTTGAGAAAATGACGTTTAAAGTTTTCAAAGCTGTGCACATTTGCGTCTGTACAGCAAAGAGGGTTTCGTCAAGGAAATCATTTTAAACAAAAGAGCAAATCTTTTTCTAAAAAATGAGCTCTAGGAATTTAAATTTAAAGCAAATTCAATGGAAGGGCTTGGGAGACAAGGGGGATGAGTGCAGCTTTTGAAAAATTTTAGATATTAATGATTTAAACTAAAACTAGTCCCAGAATATATTCTGTGAAAAAGCAACCACCAAAATCCAATTTTTAACCATTAAAAAGTAAACTGAGTTTGTAATTTTTCTCCGCAACAAGGCTCCATCCTACTTTAAACTTTTCAAAACCTACCCTTGAAATAGCAAAAACTGCTCTTAGCCCACTTGTCATCCAAAGCCCTCAATTGAGATGCAGTGATTTTAAAAAACAACCACATCTCCTGTTCTTACGTAAAACTATTTTTAAGACATCAAATTAACTACTTATCTAATGTAAAAAAGGGAAAGTGCTTTAAATGAATCAATGTATGATAGCTGTTGAGTTTTTTAATGATTTTTCTAAGGAACTATATAAGTGTTTGCTAACTTTCAAATTGGAACCAAGAGTCAAATTATATTATTGATCTTCTAAAGTAGGGAAAATATTGGAGAGGATGCCATCCTACAGATACCCGTATGCAACAGTCTTATTTATGTTTTTTACTAGGTACTTTAATGTGCTTATTTACACTATCTTCAAGGAGATCAATGAGCTTGATTAAGATGAACAGCGAATTCTAACATCCGCTTTTTTTAAGGTATAACATGGTTTCTTATTCATATCTTAATAGATAATTATGCAAGAAGTCTGAAACTTGGCACCAACTCTTGAGGGTTCATGGATTCCATTAAATTGTTCCATTAAAGAGAGAGGGCAATGCACAAACAGGTGGATAGGTTGATACAATGGTTCTATCGAAAGGGTTAAATTAAAAACACTGTTTTCTCTGAGAATTTAGTTAATTCCAAGTCAATTTTTGATACATTTGTCGAGGATACTTGGTAACCTCATATTTATTCTTTTCAGCCGGAAACAAAATAACGATGATGAAGACAATGAGGATTGTGATGTTGGAACTGGCGAAGAAGGTGCTAAGCAAAAAGAAAAAGCTAAGAAGAAGAAAAAGGGAACATTTAATGTTGAAGAATTTCAACTCCTTCCTTTTCTCAATACTGGTGAGAGTGAGATTGTAGGACATGTAATCCTTAAACCAAAATTTGGAAATACTTCTTGAAACTCCCATGACTTAAGATCTCTAACAAAGAAAATGTCAAGGTGTATCACAAATTCTAGCCTCTGTCTTCAGGGTTACATAAAGTAAGGGTGCCAAAAATGTACCTTATCTGCGAATGGCAACAAACAAGGCAAATCTTGGGTTGAAGGGCAACTTGCGGGAGTGATGACCCCTATTTTTCTCTCTTTTTAGCCCTTGCTTAGTTTTCGAAAGTCTAGAAAACCTGGAAAGTCAGAGAATATACAGTCATCCAGGAAAGTCAGGAATTTAGGGAACTCCTGGAAAGTATCGGAATATTGCAAATAGCGCATCTGTTTAGCACCTTAACCTGGGGCCCACAAGAGAGTGGTAAAAATTTCATAGTGTCCTTTCCTGTAAATTAACTGATCCAATTTTCTATCATTCCATCAGTCAAACTGTCTCTTCATTGACCTGTTAAATTAACCAGTCAAATTGTTTGTCAATCAACCAATCAAATTCTCTGTCAATCAATAAGTTGGATCATCTCATCCATTTCATTGACTAGAAGTCTCTCCATTGACTAGGCAAATCATTTGTCTATGTACCATTCAACTCCTCTTTTGATCAATCTACTGAATCTTCTTACGATCGATGAGTCAAATTTTTAATCAATGGAGCTTCCGATCCTAATCAATTTTCCTTGTTTTTTTTTATTTTTCAGATAAAAATATTGATATGGAACTAGACAAGAAAGAGAATAAACTAGCAAAGCAATCAGGTAAACTTGTCCTTCCCATCTTAATGCGAATTAAAAGTGGTTACTACATCTAGAGATATTTTCACAACTGAAGGAGAAGTAGTCGGGAAAATGGATGAATTCAGGTATAGACTATTGTTTTTCCTCCAATACCAACTTGTATTATTAATAGTAAATATCGATGGTGAAACTACCGAACCACGTATCTCGATTTTTGTCGGTTTTGAGTTAGCTGCATAAATGAGTTGTAGGAGATGCCCTTTATCTGCCACCAAAATATTTTTGTCGAAAAAAAATCAGGAAGTTATCCAAAACCGTAGTTCAAATATCACATATCTCCGCGCTAATTCGCAATTCACTTATCCCGCGCAGGCGGGAAGTTATTGTACACACGGCGCGCTCTGTAGTACGCAGTGTTAGTATTACGTCGGTCATCAGCTGTTTGGTGTTTTTGTTTGGAATATTTCTCAGTTCTCTTTCTCCTCCAATTCTCTTCAAAGTTATTTAACTGTTCAAATTTTAGTATTTTTGAAGTTGTTTTGTTAAGTTTTTTATGTTTTTTTAAGTAGTGAGTCAAGTGAGTCGTGATGACACGCCGTCGAAGCAGCAGATCTGTGAAAAACAAGAAATTTTGGCTGCGGCTGAAAGGTCAGATCATTGATGATCGATTAACCTTACCTAAGTTATAAGTTATCATTTATCAAATAAAGTTTGTGCTGAAAGTCAGACTTTCATGGATATTTTATCGAAGTTTTGGATTCAGTTTCTCATCCTCAAAGCACCAGCAATTCACTGAGGTCGCAGACAGAGCAAGGACACATGGCTTGTAGTAGACTTCCTGCAAGTTTACTATCTTAAAAGCATTATTATTATTACCTACTAAAATATTATCTAATAGATGTCTGAACTAACGGACATTGCCAGGTCATCTTGTTAAGAGAGAAAATTCAAATAACCTTTTGATTATTGTTGGCCAATGCTGATTGAAGTTTGAATTTACTTTCTGCACATGATGACTCGGATGTTGCAGCACCATTATTTTAGAGTTCATGCCAAATAAGTTCATCCACTCATAGAGAAAGACAGTAAATTTGCTATCTTGATTCTTGTATTTATTGTCAATCCCTAACTAAAGACGGCTGCGGCTAATCTTCTGCCACCCTCCAAAAGTAGACTCATTTAGCGTGGACTGACTGATAAATGAATTAGGTAACCTAACTTTGAATGGGAGAAGATTGAATTCATTCGACATCAGTAAGTAAGATCAAAATTGATATTAATAGGTGATTCTTCTTTAAGAATTTGTGTTACTCACTGTCATTTATGAATATTGGACTTGCCCACTCATCCTCTGGTCAGCTCAGATTTTTCTTGCTTTGGCAAAGAATCTTTCTCATATTCAGGTGGATGATGCACTAATTATAATATTGCCGTATTTATCGGCGCACATCAGAAGGGAACTCCTTCAGCAGGAACATGGATGCATTTAAATCAA